CTCATGTATATAAAAGAGAGTGCGTACACTTTTGTACAAGATGATTTACTTACACTCACAGTGGGAGAGTGGGAGTCACATGTTAACATTTTTTATTTCATGTGGAGCCCAAATGTATGTGAGAGTGAGTAAAACATTTTGTACAAATGTGTGAGTACAAATATCTTTATCCATATGTAAATTAATTGAATTTAAACTTTATATTCAAATAGTGCATTCACGAGTATTTAATCCAGTTACAGTTTAATTATTTGATCAACGGATTAATATCTTCGACTTTACTATTGTCGAACCATTTAGAATAATATAATCGATTATATTATTACCAAACATTACTTATTTATTCTTTTGAATGTAAGGTGAATCTCCGTCTAACTTTATCGGTCTGGCCCTGTTTGACAATCATATTTTGGGAAAAAAAAAAATTTGAATAATGATTTTTAAGATATGTATGGTTAAAAAATAGAAAAAAAATATTTTAATAATACTACATTTACATCAAAACTTACATAATGATTTTCATAATACTACATGATACTCTATTTGAACAGTTTAAAATACAGTCAACTTTTCATCCAATCATTTCTCTAATTCTCTCCAACTCATCTTCTGAAATTACTTCTGGACAATTTCTTCTAGTAAAATAAATAATTTAAAATTTTTAAATTTATGTACAAAATATTTTATTGTGTAAATATATAGTTAAAAATAAATATGTAAAAATAAATAAATAGAGAATTTGAAAATTATAATTGTCAAACAGGGGCCTGATAATGTTATCTCATCTATACAATATGCTAAAACATGATAAACTATTTAAACTAATGACTCAAAGTTGTGTGGCCATTTGTTATTTAAAAGTAATAAATTAATCATAATGATTTAAAGTTTAACTAGGGTGAATAATGAAAACGTCAAACCGCATAACTGAAACGAAACTATTGGTTTGGATCGACGTGATTATGTCAACGTTTTAATTTTGAAACGAATCAAACTGATTCAAAGTGATGATCCCTTAATAGTTAACCAAAAGAGTGATGAATTTGTTATCAAAAATCTTTTCGAAGATAAATCTAAACTTAAGCAAATTCGATAACCAACTAGTTAATCAAACATATATGCACAAATACGAAGGCAACAAGTAATAAGGGAGTGTGCAAACAATATAATTGTGGAGATTCAATCCCAACCGACGATCTAGTCCTCCGTTACTTAGTTCTCAGTCACGATCAAGGCCTTTTCACTATAATGATTGATTTATGGTGCAATCTAATTCTTTACAATGCTTTTGGTGACTTACGATCAATGAACATTTATCTTTATACAATATTGAGCTTTATCGGACATCAATATGATCCACAAAATGTAAAGAGTGTAATTTTACAATTTGAAACTTCTCTCTCAATAAATATAGAATGATTTTCAAAAATTAATTCAATCAAAAGTTTTTCAGAAATAAATGATTTGATAAAGATAAATAAAATGTATATTCAATGATTTGGTTTAAGAGTATCTCACTTTAATGCTCTCAAAAGTGTTCAATAGAATACAAAGTGAGGTAGTATTTATAGCAGTTAAAACGCCAAAAGTTATGATCAACCAGACAACTCAATCAGACGTCCGCTTTTGAATCGGACACTGAACTATCCGTTGTGCGTCAGAATTTAGAACAGTTAAAAATTTGACTGTTGGACGAATTGGACGTTCGCTAGGTCAACCAGACATCTGCTTGGGCAATGTTTTTTCGAATTTTTTCTTCTTTGATTGTTTTAAAAAAAATGCAGACTTTTGAAGGGCATTTTCACTTAATTTTTCAAGGTAAGTGACATTTGTAAGAAGTTTGAATATTAAGTTGAGATTCTTACTTTTTGAAAAATAATTTTTACTATGCAAGCATTTTTAAGAAATAATTTTTCTCGTGCATAAAAATTCATCATGAACTTCTAATGATTCATTGCTGAGGATTAAAGCATTTTACCTTTACACATGAATCCAAAAAATCTAAGTCTAATATTTTCAATATTTCACTGTTGAAGTACTTGTCTTTGATCAATTTGACGTGAATTCTCGGCTTCCATCTCGATTTTCATTGAACATCAATTGCGAGTCTTTTGATAGCGAGCTCTTTTGTTTTCAATTGATCAACTTAGCAACAATAACTATAATGGCTTGAATTCAATTATTAGAGATAAAAGCAATTTATTTGTTATAATCAAAACATGAAGTCAACAATATGTCAACACGAAGTTATTTGGTGTAGGTTTCAATCTTCACAAATTGTTTTAAACAGACAAACCATTTACTTAAAAAAAATGAATATGAATTATTTAAATTATATTCAACCCAATTAAAACTAAATAATCATAGTTAAAAAGATGCATCCATATTAAACATAATTCACTTAAACTTAATATCTAATGACAATTTCCCATTCCAATTACTTAAATTAATTATAATCAATAACACATTAGTCATCACAAACTGAGAATATGAAACCCTCAAATTAGATGAAATGTTAAACAATTGCTGTTGAACCATATTCATCAACTGTCCATTACAAATTGAGTAGACAATTAAATCTAACTTATAATTCAAACATATTTTTTCCTTCTACGAATAATTTTCTTGAATTTCACCTAAATTTTCATGTCAGTTTATCCAGATTTTTTTTTATTGTTTGGTATTTATTTGCTATATTTTATTATTGTTTTGTTCTAATTTGTGCTGGACCCCCTTAAATTTATAGTGACAACATTTTATTTGCATCTCAATTTCTTGGTCAAGCCAATCAATTAATTATTCACATTTTAACTTAGTTTTTAAATTTTACTGTAGTTGTTGAAGTGACTTGGTGGATTGCTTAAAAGGTCATTTTTACTTTGGTGAAAATTGAATGCAAATAAATACAAGGTTATCCCTCAAATTGATAAAGACGTGTTAGCAATACAATATCCACCAATATTTCTAGGTTTGCACTCTTTACTAATGGTCAGATTCTTGATTCCTTCATGAATTTATTGAATGCAAATATAGTTGAGTTGGTGATTTGTTCTAAAAATTGGTTACATAATAACAAACAATTTATAGTGCTTCGTCAATATTTAGATGAGATATAAGAATTGAATGATTCACAAAAAGTTATAGAAGTTATTATTTTATTTGATATTTCTATCCATTTTATCTTTACGGAGAGAATGAATCATATGTTACAGTTGCAGATATTGCACTAATTATTATCTATTAAAATGTTAAGATATTTCTATCATGTTGTTGTATTATAATGATTAGAATTATAGAACTTTGATTTGTAATATTTTTAAAGATATCATTTATACTTTAACTTGAAATTTTAGACTAATATTTATAATTAAGCTTATTTGATATACAATAAATTTTTCCTTCTTAGACCGTGATTTTAAATCAAACAAAATAATAAAAAAGGGAGGTGGTTTGAATTAGTTTGATTTAGAAATTCAAGTGGTTTAGTTTGATTTGAAATTCTTTCAAATCTTTTTAAATGATTTTGTTTGAAAAATTATTTTAAATTGTTCAAACTGAATCGTGTTCACCCTCAATTATAACTATTTATTTTATCTACATGCATTCAATTTTATGTATTTATTCAATACACATGGCTCATTTGGTAGAGATTTTGCTTTTACTTCGACTTCTTATAGAAGAGTTTCAAGTAATTTTTTCTAAACATTTTTCTAATCAGAAAAATCATTTTTAAACAATTATTCAAATTTATTTAAAAAAAGTTCTTAACTTTTTAAAAGCCCTACTAAATGACTCCAAAGTCAGTCTATTAATGTAGTTATCTTTTTAGTATACATTTAATAAATTTTAAAATGATTTTAAAGTGTTTGTTTGTCATAACTTTTTCAAACTTATAAATTGATCAAACATCATATTTATTCATAGATTACGTAGATGCCACGATTTTTATCCGTTTATTATTTATACATTTGATATGCCTCCCAACTTATTGTCTGTAAAAAATTTTATCAAGCATAGTGAGGCAAACTATGATACTAAAAGTTATAATTTCTCTTACCAATCAATTGAATATGTATATAATCATCCCATGTGGACCTAGTGCTATCAAATTAAAATGTTAGAGACGTAATAGCTCCTTTTTTGAAGGTTGGGGACTAAAGTGCAATATGGTTTATAAACTGGGTACCTTTACTACTATTTTGCCAAAGATATTTGGAAACAATTACAATTTTATTATTTTTATTTTTATTTTTATTTTTTATTTCTAGCTTAGCGCCATAGCCAAACGTACTCCAAATGTTCTCTGGAAAATGGGTAGTTTCCCTCATCCACGGCCCTCCATTGCTAAACAAAGATATGGGAATTGGGAAGATGAGCAAAACTTCCATTTGCTCTACCTTCTCCCTTTTCGGCAAACCCATATGACAGTAGCAACGCAAAATAGTGTAGAGAAAATCTTACAGAAAGTTCAAGGGCGGAGAGGGTGGGTGAGGGAAGGTAGGCTATTATTTTCAGCTTTTTACCATCCTCTTGTACCCTTATTCAACCTCCCATCATGATTTTTTTATCTGGGGTAGTCGTTGATATACCTTGATTTGATCTGTTTCTGGATTTATCTTCGTGTTTAATTCCATCGAAGAAATAATGGATGATCCGATACGTATGGACTGCCCCAGTGGGGAATTATTCAATCCGGTTCTTACAATGGGCACCCAGGTTCATGCCTTCTTGTGATCTCCCACTTTTTTCAGCTTTTGCTCAAGCCCTTAGGCCAACCAGGACCCGTCGCTCAAATTCTTGTATGGATAGCCAGGACCCGCAACTTTTCTGGTGAATGTTCTGTGGTATTTTACTGAACGAATGCTATTTGTATGTTGAGAAGAAACAATTAAGTCCTGAATGAATCATGCAAGATTATTCGAGATGTTTAATGAAGAGAAAATCGAGAAATTAAAAGAAAAAACGAGAATGCGTTAAATCTTAACATTGATGAGGCATGTAAAAATCCAAAGTCAAATTCATGTATTTTCTTTTTCTAATATTTGCATTGTCAGCTAGCATCTCTTTCCTTGTGACAAAATAATCTGAACTTGTTGTATTTGAACTGAAGATATGAAAGATTGTTGTATTTGTATGTACACTTTCTTCCTTTTCGCTTTTGTTTATTTTGCATTGGCTTCTAAACTCAGGCAGGATTCGTGCTAGGCCCTTCTGGGTTGTCACATATTGATAAAGTAAAAAAGTTCTTCTTTCAAAATTTTGCTATAGATTACTATGAAACCATGGCACTATATGCTAGAATCATCATCATGTTTCTGATTGGACTTGAGATGGATTTTCCTTATCTAAAACGGAACTTGCGTGTTGCAAGCATTATTGCTGGAGGAAGCAGCTTTGTATGTACAATCTTTGCCGTAGCTGTTACCTCATTTATATACGAACAGACTGAAGCACATGGTTCTACAGTCATGATGGCCTTAACGGTAGCCGTGATTTTGGCTAACACAGCATCTCCTATTGTGGTTCGTTTGGCAGCTGAACTCAAGTTTGTGAGTTCAGATATTGGGCGGCTGGCTGTATCTTCCTCATTGATTGGTGATGTCTGTGCTGTATTTTTATTTATTATAATTTCAAGAAACAAACATAAATACGACTTCTTCCTATGGATTATGCTGGGCATTGTCTACTTCCTTATTGTTGTAGCAGTAATAGTTCTCAACATGTACGTTGCAAATTGGCTGAACCAGAGGAATAGAAATCAGAAATATCTCAAAAATATTGAATTCTTTGGTCTTCTGGCAATTGTTATTGTTGCTGCTACAACACTTGAAACTATGGGTTTCAGCAGCATAATAGCTTGTCTAATCATTGGATCAATGTTTCCTAGAGGCGGCGAAGCTGCTTGGACGCTCATGATCAAACTCTCATACTCACTTCACAACTTCATACTCCCAATCTACTTTGGCTACTCTGGATTCAGGGCAGATGTTACTTTTATAAACAGTTTCCTTAACTTTGCCATTGTTTTCATAGTTATCTTGTCGAGCATTGGTGGAAAAATTACTGGAACACTTCCTGCTTGTGTTCACCTAAAAATTCCACTAAATGAAGGGGTTCTTCTTGCTTTCTTAATGAATTTGAAGGGCCATGTTGACTTGCTTACTTTGACCATTGGCTTAGAGAATAAGGTAAGTGCCCATTTTTTTCCTGATCTTGAATGCTTATTGTAGGGAATGTTCATTTAAATCATGAGTTCTATGCCAACATCACATTTCATCGCGTTTTACTTTCAAATTTTTTTTCCTTGCAAGATGACAGAATGTAAACCAACAAATAGTTTTGGAGACTGTCTCTAGTCTCGTGTTTCCATGCATCAATATCAATAGTGTCCTTAATTTTAACAAAATCCTGAATTGATTACAGATAACGTCTCCTTTGCAATGATCCTCCCATTGTTAAGTAACTTAAATTCTAGATGTAGAATTGTCGATGCAGGTCATGTCCAGCAACACATTCTATAATTTGATGATGGCAGCGGTGGTAATCCATTCTTTGATTTGGGGGCCTTTAATAGCTTACATAAAGAAAAAGTTATATCCTTGATTACAGGCATATAGCTTTTGAATCACAAAATCCAGAGAGTAAGTTGCGACTAATAGCCTGTGTGCATGGTCCTCACCCTGTGGCTACCATGGTAGGACTGATTGCAGCATCAAAGGGGTCTAAAAATGTATATGTAAGTCCATATTTAATGCACCTTATTGAGCTCCCTGAGAAAAGCAAAACAAATTTAATGTATAATAAAAAAGAAGAAGACGCGATTAGTGATGATGATGACTATGGCGGTAATGATGTCGTGGAAATCAATGAGGCAGTGGATATCTTCCGTGCTGAGAGCGGAGTGATGATTCATCAAGTCAAAGTTGTTTCTTCCTATGCAACCATGTATGCGGATGTATGCGACTATGCTAACGAGATAAGAGCTTCTATTATTATCCTCCCTTTCCACAAACACCAGAGAATTGAAAGATGGAAAGCTGGAAAGTGGCAAGGAGGGTGTAAGAATTACTAATCAAAAAGGGGTTCGATACGCCTCTGTTCAGTTGCCATTCTCATTGATCGTGGACTCACAGCTGGTGGCTCATATACGTCTAGTTCTGAATCTTTGCAACATGTTGCTACTCTATTTTTTGTTGGACCAGATGATCGTGAGGCATTGGGATTCAGTGGAAGACTTGGAATGCATCATCACATAAACCTCACAATTATTAGGTTCCTCCATACATCTGCAAGAATGCAAACTATGGGCGTCAATATTACCCAGAACAAAGAGGATGTTTTGATGGCAATATCAGATCACGAGACAGAAAGCAACTTAGACAGCGCTGTCCTGACCGACTTCTACAACAGGTAGGGCAAGGCATCATATTTTAATGTCTTAACAAGTGTGTTTTCCTTTCATTTGCATCATACTAGGATTAGAAGTGCTTCAAATTATAATTATTATAATAATCATCAAAATGTGCCGTTTAATTGTCATTTATAGGTATGTAACGACAGGTCAAGTGGGATATGTAGAGAAGCAAGTGGAAAATGGTGCCGATACATTGTGTGCTCTAAGGGACATGGCAGACATGTATTCATTGTTCATCGTTGGAAAAGGTGGTCGAGATCACTCTATTTTAACAACAGGTATGAATGATTGGGAAGAATGCCCTGAGCTTGGTAAAGTAGGGGATTTGTTAGCTTCTTCAGACTATGACGATAGTGGTTCAGTTTTAGTCATCCAACAACATAGACCTTCAAAGAATGCCAACCATCAATAGAAATGACAGATGCCAATGAATGATTTTTCAGATGAATCCCTACTGTCTCATCTACCATACAATGATCATCGACAAGCTTCATGATATTGAGAAATTATAGTCGGTAAATCTTTGGAAAGATCATAAGCTAAGAACCGTGCACGTTTATTCAGATTGCAGTTGATCAATCTCTTGGAACATGCCTCCCATGGTCCTTAAAATACATAGCATTGCATGTATGTGCACCACGAGACACAACCATTGTATAAAATAATCGACTTTTTGTACTTCTTGGATTCGCAGAAGATGTCTATTTATTCATTTATTTTTATTTTTTTTTGGTTGATCTTCACAGGTAGAATAGTAGAAAGATCTGTGTAAAGGGACTAGATCTTGTGTATGGATTCTTTCTAGCTTATAGAATGAAGATTAGATGTGGAGAGACTTATCTTATGTATTGATTATTTACCGAAAAAATACTGATTGATTTTATGTAAAATGTAACAGGTAATACCTAGAAGAACCTCTAAGTATAAAAATGTTTACTTACAATTAAAAGGAAGTAGGCAGTAGCTACATTAAAGATACATTTTCGATGAAACCCATGAAAAATTTTAGATTTGAAATAATAGAACTAAAAAAATGCTATAATTATTAAATTATCATTAGACGCTCAACTAGCAGTCCAATGAGGAAATTATGCAAGAGACTTGGTTATATCTTGAAAGTACAACAGTACCATTCATAGTTTGGGTAATTATCGCAAAATGTCCATACTTTTCAATGTTATTGTACAAAACATCTATACCTTTCTCGACATTTTCACCGTACCTTCCACCTTGCATTGCGCAAAAAGTCTTTTTCATTTATTTTTGACGATTTTACGTTTCTATTTAAAACAAAAGAAAAGAAAAACAATGAACCAATTGCAACCAAAGTCCCAAATTCTCAAAAAATTACAAATGAGTTAAAGATATATTCTTAAGAATTGAAACTAAAAATAAAAAATAAAAAAAAACTTTATTCTTAACCCACCAAATTGGAGAGCATTGAAATAAAAACAATGCATTACAAGAAATGGAAATCAACATAAAAAAATAAAAAAATAAAAAAATGAGAAAAAATCTTTATTCTTAACCCACCAAATTGGAGAGCATTGAAATTTTGATAAATTTCAATAAATTATATATGTGAATCTATGATTCTATATGTAAAAACAATGCTTTTCAAGAAACGAAAATCAACATTAAAAAAAAATTAAAAAAAAACACTAGGGGGAATATTAGTGAGTTTTGCTTATTTTGAGTGAAATGAAAACAATTTACAGCTATGGCAATGTCAACAGCTTCTCTCTGAATATCCTCTTTTATGTTGACGCTCTTTATAATGACTTTCTTATCGAAGGCGGTAGATCCAGCTGAGGACTTTTGATCTTCTGAGGATGTCGGCGAGGGAGCCACTAGTTCTCCGCCACCGCTTCTCTTAGAATCTTCTCTCATTTGCTTTAATTATTTCTGGTTCCAAAATTTTGAATTTTAGGTTTATTAGGAACTTCTAGTGATGAGAAAAAAGACAGGCGACAGCAATGTATGTGTGCAATCTTTTGAATTTGTAAAGTTTTTATAATTTTATTTGAAATTCTGATGACAAGTAACAATAAAGGTTTTTTTTTTAAGAATATATTTTTAATTCATTTGTAATTTTTTCAAATTTTGGAACTTTGGTTGCAATTAGTTCATTGTTTTTCTTTTCTTTTCTTTTGTTTATGTTTTATTTAAATAGAAGGGTAAAATCGTCAAAAATAGATAAAAATGACATTATGCGCAATGAAAGGTGAAAGATAGGGGTGGAAATATCAAAAAATGTAAAGTAGGAATGTTTTGTACCAATTACCCTTCATAATTTTACGTTCTAAAAGTACTATTCATATTACTTATTTTCATAATGTTGCTGTAGAAACCCAACCAACCATACTTCTAATATCCTAAACTCATATCCAACTCACATGGTCGCAATTACGCTGTCAAAATTTCGAAATATTTTAAATAATAAAATAATATTATATCAAACCACTTTGACACTATTATGAAAATGATTTGAATGGAAAAAGAGAAAAGATCTGTGCTATACAAACAACCAGCAAATGGACTGGTGAATAACTCAAAAGAGCGCCCCCAGGCACATTTCCAAGTGGTAAAAGGGGAGGGTGGAGAAATCCAACTTTGCTTGAGGCTGCTGCGTCAAGAGTTCGAATCCTGAAATATGGATTTGGCTTTTGGGTAAGTGCAAGTGTACAAGCACCCTTCCACCCTATATCCTTGGAGGCATAACCTACAATTTAACTCCCTCACGATGCTCCAGGACAGGAGTGGTGGGGGACCCTTAATGTTAGGGTTTAACATTTTTTTGTTTTTTTTTTTTTTGAATAACTCAAAAAAGCATAACCTCTGATACGATGGTACAATTAGGCCTTCCCTTCGATATGCGTATCATCAGAATGTCCCAAATGCCTACACTTTGAATTTTCTAAGAAAAGATTGTGTTATTGCAGTTACGGGATGGATGGAGGGGGATGATAAAAGCGAGAAAGTAATCTATCCTTTGTGTGTGTGTGTGTGTTCTTTTACTGTTTGTTTCTGTTCTCTCTCTCTCTCTCTCTCTCTCTCTCTCTCTCTCTCTCTATATATATATATATATATATATTGTTTATTTAAATACAAGGGTAGAATAATCTTTTTACCGGATTTTTTTTTTGTTATATTGTTATCACAATTTTTATTTGATAAGCCACATTTTAATTGTAGTTAAGTTCCTCAATTTTTGCTCATTTGACAATTTTTTATTTTATTTTCTTCCATCGAATTCTTATTTTCAATCTTACATTAATTAGTACGTCTCGTCGTTGATGATAATTTGTATTAAAATATTTTATTTACATGCTTTAACATGAGGTAAAAATATTTTTTCTTAATTATTATTTATTTTTTTTTTAAAAATTTATTATTTTACACCATTTCAACTATTTTTAGACATAATACTGTTATCAAATATAAAATGAATTAATTAATGAAAATTTTGAGGATAAGAATGATATGAAAGTCATTAGGGACATAAGTGTTATAATTAGTAAAAATTAAGATTTTTAAATAAAAGTCGTTAGGGATATAAGTGTTATAATGAGTAAAAATTAAGAATTTTAAATATAATTAATATATAGAGTAAGAAATAAAAATTGTGGTGTGAATATAGTCCTTTGCTTTAAAATGGGAGTTTGAATTATCTAACTAGCATGACATAAATACTTTTAAAGTGACAATTATGTAAAATTGTTTACAACAGTGCAATTGGAAGGCTTCAAAGATTGCATACTGGTGGATTTATCATCAATGAGGACATCATTCATAACAAACTGAGTGCAGTTAATCGCATATCGAATAAAGATGGAAATATAGACCAACTTATAATGACTTTAAAGTTTTATCTTAAAATGCCAGCCTTACTATGAGGAGTAACTTAAAACATTATAAGTTAATTTATGTTTTCATCTTTATTTGATGTAAATTTTTATCCTTTAACATGCTCTCGCATGATGATGGCTGATTTGAGTAGATCAATCTTAAAATTCGTGTACTCATTTTTTAGTTTTAATCGAAGTGAATTGCTCGTTGGAGCATAATGTGCTCTAATATCATATAAAGATTTGATATTTCATCTGAAAAGATCAACCTTATTAAGAGGTGTGGCCTAAAACCTTATAAATTGGTCTGTTTTTCGTTTGTATTCGATGTGGGATTTTACCCTTTAAAAGTGGAGAATGTGGTGTCATTGTAGGAGTGTAGTGTTGAATTTTCGCTATGAAGGTCTTGAAACTATTCACCACTTATTCTTTGAATGCCAATTTAACGAGCAATCTGAGACCAATTCTTGGTGCCATTGTCGGAATGCGGTGGTGGCGAAGGTGAGAGAGAGAAATAAAATTGTATTATGTAGATCCATTCTTTATGGTATTATTAGGAAGATGAAATGTTAGGTTTTTTTGGGAAAAACACGTGAATAATACTTTTGGTTTAAAATAAAATTTAGAAGTTTGCCACATTGGATGTTGATTATACAACTTGCAGACTTGGGTTCGGCCCCATTAGGGTTGCATTTCCAATCTAGGCGTTAATATGACATGAAACGATAGGTGAAATTAAACAGTATAGATAGTGCTAATGTGATATTAAATGATAGGTGAAATTTAATGCTACATTAGTGCCAACAAGATTGGGGTTGTAATTCCAGTGAATTAAATAACATTCATCAACAACAATACTCAGCGAGAAAGACGAAGAGGTAAGAATTAAATGACAAATTTGTTTAATGCAAAACGTTCCAAATACTTCTAATTAAAGCCACCCTATTAAAGCCCTCCATCGAAAATATACTCAACACTCAAAAAATCTGTCTCCTTAATTCATTTGAAGCATCTAGCGAATCATAAGAATGAGTTACAAGAATACCTTCAAAGAAAGTTGCTCCCTTTGCCCACATACGAGACGGAGAAAGTATCGACAAATCCAATACTCTTCAAGTCGAAAGTTCACGTTAATGGAAAGGTTTTTGAGACAATGAATGTGTATAGAAGGAAGAAGATTGCAGAGCAAGTGGTGGCAAAATTAGCACTTAACACTCTGCAAGAAGGTGATGATGACAAAGAAGATGAGATATTCAAACTTGCAACCCTCAAAATAGGGGACTAGGAAAAGTAAAAGGCATCTTTGACCTCTTGAAGCAGGAACATGAATTTCTGCTTAGGGTTTCATTTCGTCTGTCGATTATCTATCTAATTTCACCGTCTTTTGTTTGTTCGTTTTCGAGTAGGGTTTCATTTGGTCTATCTTAAATTTTTTCTAATTCCAATGTTGTCTAATGTTCTTTCTTATGTAGGGTTTTATCTGGTTATTGTACATGATTAACTTCAATTTTGTTCAATAGGACAACTACACTGGGTGATTTCAATTTGGCATCTCAATCCAATTATTTGATTTCAAGTTGGTAACTCAATCCAATTTTGTCACTTTCACCGACAAAAAGTTGATGACGTGGTAATCAATAGACGATGGTTATTTACTTCGCTAATATTTTATTTACTCCTTCCGTCCCAATTATATAGGCTTGTTTCGTTTTTCACATGGATTAAGAAATCTTCTTTAATGTCATTGAAAAATTATTTTTTGTCAAGATCTTTCCTAATTTACCCCTACTTAATTTTCAGTATGTAGTAGTAAATTATTGTAGGAATTAGTAAAAAATTTGAATGATTTAATTTAAACAAGAACAAATGAGAGTTGTTCCATATTTCCAAGAAGTGGGAAAAATGTGTATTTGGATGATTTCAAGAAATTGGCGTATTAAGTGGGGAAAATTGAATAAGGGTATATTGGAAAAGGAATAAAAC